TTCCTTCCTTCCTTCCTTCCTTCCTTCCTTCCTTCCTTCCTTCCTTCCTTCCTAGGTCTCCCATAAAAAGAAATTGATCAGGGAGCTATATTTGAATTAAGACATATTAAATCGATGACAGATACATATCATGCTGTGTTTAACAAGAGTTGTACAAGGAGGCGGGCTCCAGATTCCACAGGGCTCTGCTGTAGCATTATCCACATTTTTACAGCCTTTCCTTCATGCCTCCATCCATTAAACCATTAAATTTCAGCAATTCAATAAAAACAAAGCAGTTATAATCTTGACGAAAAGCCATTTTGAAGGGGGTGGAGGCACCTATTTTACTGCACAATAAAATTGCTCAAAGGGCCATATCATAAACTAGGTTGTGCTTATTTTCTTTATTCACTTTTTTGGGTTTTGTTTGTTTTTTGCTGATAACCTCCAGTAGCGAGCTCTGAGCTGTCATTACTGCCGGTATGGACATTCATTGCCAAGAGGTTGAAATAAAAGGAAAATAATTTGAAATCTCCTTCAAGGAAATGAAGGCAGTGGTAATAATTCCCAATGTGACATTTCCCTTATACACCATCTATACAGATGGCACCGTTCTTCACCAACCTTTCCATGGTTGGCTCAGGATATTAAAGTGTCTGAAACAACTCATCATAGAAGTCTCCTCCCCAAATACAGATGTGGGTTTGATTATTGCCACTGTGTGTGTGTGTGTTTCTGCTCATGTTCTTTGCCTTTTCCCTAGATTTAAACTTCATTTAAGCTCAAAGAAGAAGGCATTTAGAATGTGATGGCATGATTGTCTTTGTTTGGTTGTCAGATTTAGAAGAGAAATGACATTCCCAAGGTTCATAGGGAGGCTCCTGCAGCATGGTTCACACCGATGTCAATGGCGCTAGCAAATCAACTCTGGAAATAATACTTACTTCTTTTGAGGGCCATGATCTGATGACAGCTTTTGGGGGGTTAATCTTTACTCCAACTGCAAATGAATTAAGCTTAAACATGGTTGCTTGTGTTCCTGCCCCCTACCTCCCACCCACCCCACTCTCCACCTCGGGATGTGGGGGGTATCATATTCGACTCTTTATTACTATTTTATAGATGATTTTTTCACTCTAGTTTGAACATTTTAGGACATCACAAAATTAAGAATACTTCATTCAAATAAGAAACAAATGACACTTTGGGCGACTGAAACTCCCTAAAGAGGGTGTCTCACAGTTCTCCGCCCCCGCCCCCATGATGCAGGGACCTACTTATATTTTTCAAAAAGGTTTGGTGGCAAAGGGATCCAAAGGGATAGCATTTACTAAAACCCAGGGCATGGGATCCTAGGTTTTCTGACTTTCAAGTATGGTATTTCAACTTAACAAGGAGGCAGCTTAATCTATTAATAAATAAATAGGCAAGATACTTACTGATTTTTAAATATTTTATTTGGTCTATTCCAACTTGCGGTCCTTCTGGAGAGACTGAGTCACATTCTGGGCAGGAGGGAGACATTCTACTTAAAGGATGTCTTTTATTTAATGGCTTAGGAGAAACGTTATTTGGCCCTCTCTGCCATTGTATCTCTGGGAGGCAAAAGTTAGCTTCGCCTCTCCACTCCATATTCCCATCTCCCCGCCCCTCAGGGAGATACAATTGGAAGCAGCAGACCTAGAGAACCCGTGAGCAGTGAGATTACATCCTGAGTCCGTTCCTTTGAACCATGTTGAATGGAACCCATGAGCTAAAATAGTCTAGGCAATACTGTACCTTTGATGAATGATTTATTATATATTATTTTTACTTTGGTATTTTCCCAAGTTCCATCAAATTGTTTTGTAATCAATTACGTTTACTAATCGTCCTTATTCCTCCTCCAGTCTATAACCCACGTGGGCCCAGGGAAGACGAGGTCCATATAAGAAGTTTCTGGCATCGCTACAGATACCGTGGCAGGATGGTCACTCGGCTCGGTCTAGAGATCAGCCGGGGATGATCTAAGAGAGGAGGTAGAAAGTGTTCGGGTACTACCATCCTCAGATCCTTCCCCACCCCCACTCCCGTCGCTTTACCCCTGGTCGGGACGTCCCTGGACCCCTCGCAATTGGATGCACTCTGGCCCGGAGCTAACAGACGCTCTACGCCAGGCGCGTCGACCAAACGTTCTCAGGGGACCGAGTACGCAGGCCAAGCGCAGCAAACTTTCTGCAAGTGGAACTTGGGCACCCGGGGGGAAACCCGCAAGCAGAGCTACTGGAGAGTGAGGGGGGGGGGCGCGAAGTGAAAGCGCAGGCGGTCTCGAGCACGGGGGCGGTTCCCCGCTGGGCCCAGAGCCTGAACCGGAGCCAATCGCGCAGCCGAGACAGCTGCCAATCACACGGTTCCCTCCAATCCCACCCGTGCCATTTCCAAAAACTCGGTCCCACTGTGCAGCTCAAATGTGGTGTTCACTCTGCCAATCGCTGGAGGATAGAAAGGGGACAAGAATAAGCAGTTAGGAGGCCAGGACACAAGAAGTTAAAGAGCGCCTAATATATACATGTTTTTGAAGGCGGGCAGAGGGGAAAAAAGTGTCCCCAGCGAGGGTCTATGGGCCTGATTGTATAGTTATGATGGAGCCCCCTTTGAGCAAGAGGAACCCGCCAGCGCTGAGATTAGTGGATTTGGCAACGGCTCAGACCCAACAGCTTCAGAATATGACAGGATTCCCGGTGCTGGCCGGCCCGCCCGCCCACTCCCAACTCCGCGCCGTCGCCGCGCATCTCCACCCGCGGGACCCAGACACTGACCCCGGCGCGGCCAGCACTGCGCTCGGACCCGAGCACATGGCACAGGCCAGTGGGCACGGCCCCAGCCCTCCCGCTCAGGCGCTCC